GTGGTGGGGCATACGTCCTTGCCAGTGATGGCAGATTTTTAATGTCAAGATGCAGAATGAGCAATGAGGCTTTGGATTACCTAAGTGTTTCCATCTGCTACCAACTGGAATGACCAGGGCAATCCACATTGTTACTTGTATTGGATGCAAAGGTTTGTTTTTAATTATAATATGCAGTATTTTTACGTTGCTCTAATAGTGAGCTAAAAGCATTCTCTGTTTTGTATATGATTATGCAGCATTTGCAATATACAGTATGATGCCATTCTTCTTGTTAGTGATCGACCAGTTATCTCATAGAGCTAGGATGAAGAGTTTTACAATGACCAAGGTAAGGAAAATATACATTTATAATCTGAAAGTTGTTGATCACTACATACTGTATAAGATAAATCATAAACAAACAATACCACCATCTATCTGCCAGACCAATTGTTTCCACTGAATAAATGAGAATAGCAGTGGCTGATGACATTGCCTGGTTCTATTTTTGCATACCATTCTTGTTTATATATTTTACATTGAAGAAGTGTTTAGCTTCCGAGAAAACAAGAACATCTTAACATAACATTGTTAAAATGCAGGCAAATTTGGCTAATCGCAATGTGTGTAGAAACACAGCATCAACCTAAAACAAATAGGAAATAAAAAGCAATGAACAAATACATCTGAGACTAATACAGTAAAGTACTGTATATGTAAAAAAAGGGATGAAAACGGTGGTTTTAAATATCTTTCAACTTAACCTTCGCTTGTTGGAAGTTTTAAATACTATGTAAAATATAGCAGTCACCAGTTGAGAATCCATTACTTGAGCCTTCGGGATGCTTCTCCAAGCTAGCAACAGAGCTAAGGCAAATGACGAATATATTGATTTGTATTGCTGTGGCTATGCATATAGATCTGCACATCCCCATTGCATTATAATGTAAGGCAACATACATTAACCCTACCTCTGCTGTTTATTACCAAATATCAAAATGAGAGAACCACCTAAAAGCACTCTACGTGTAAGCACAAGAATGTCAACAAGTCCACTGGTTTGGCCTACATTAAATTTTCTGAGATGGGTTTTCTAATCATTTACATATTTGAATGATGAATTGAGCCAAAAGCTACTTGAGAGCCCTGTCAACGTTTCCTACAAGAACAAACTATAATTCCACAACACATGCACTGCATAGTAATAAGACACGGTGAGTTATATGATAATTTGATGATTGACTTCTTGCAGATGTCAGATTTTTGTCTGTAAAAATATTGCAATGCATTGAGATAACAGCATCATTTCCAGCAACATTAGTAAAGCTAAGGAATACACATTTACTAATTTAAATGCGGCAGTCATACAAACGATGGCCTAATAGTAGTATACCATAATGTTATATATCTAACTAGCTTTACTACCCGGCTTCGCCCGGGACTTGGGATTCTTGTCTTGGATTAATACACGGCCTACGCAGAGGGTTGGGGGGGCGTGACGTCAGCAGGCACACTGCGTGACGCTGCCGCATGCGGGTGACATCACAGATGTGACGTCACCGCTCACTATATACATTGCGCCCCCCACCCCCCCCCCAAAAAAAAAAATACAAAAGTCTATTTTTCTACTTGTTGCATTGTGTACAGTCTGGAAGCTATCCACATGTCAAATTTCAAGTTTGCATGTCGGGAAGTATGCTAAACGTTTCAAACAGACACATTCACAAATTTCCCTTTTATATACAGGGTGTTTTAAAACGATGGATCCGATTTGAAATCGCTATATCTCTGCAACCATGAACCGTCGATGAATGAAACTCTTACCACTTGAAAGAGCGGGGCATAGAGATTACTGCTAGATGCATCTCCCAGCGAATAAAACAGCCCCTATCCTCAGTCATTCGCAAGATGGTGACCCCGCAACACAAGGCATTTTGCATTCTACAGTTCAGCAGAACTGAATCCGTAATTGCGGTGCAGCGTGCGTTTCAACGGCGTTTTGGCATTGATCCGCCAATGTCAAAAAGCATTCGTCATTGGTACCGACAATTTGAGGAAACAGGCTGTTTATGTAAGGGGAAGAGCACAGGGCGACCACGCACCTCAGAGGAAAACGTAAGAGAGGCGTTTCGGACGAATTCAACTATCGTCTTGATGTTGTCCGTACAGCAGGTGGAGGGCACATAGAGCATTATAAATGGTTAGTAAAACTTGATAACTCATTAAACCGTTTGTAACTTTTTGTGTAATTGTAACATGTTGCCATCGTGAAATATACTGCTTTTAAATTGGGTCCATCTTTTTTAAAAACCCTGTATATATGTTGATTTAAAGCTTTCGTGACTGCAGGGATTCATATTCTTGGTTCTTTCGGTAAAGTCACGTAGAAGGGAAATAATAAAATAATACAAATATAAAACAAAAAAAATTCTCACGACGTTTCGACTGCAACACAAGCAATCATCATCAGGTGTGAAATCCACAGCAAGAAAATGTAAAAAAAGTGGCGGTTTTTCCTAACGTCAGCACCACAGACAGCGATTTGGCAGTTGGCCTATTCGCCGTCTCCTGAATGGAAGGCGCCGACATGGAGAGCTGCGCGACCAGCTGACCGATGGTCACAAGGAGCAGGTCGAGGCGGCCAACCACCTCACGCCACCCATCCTCGGCTCGGAACTCCAGAGGATCGGCGCCCCTCTCGCGTTGATCCGTAGTCGCCGCTCCCGCGCCGACTGGGTTTGTAACTGGGGTCCCGGGGCTGTTGGAGGGATGACCAACTCGTCGTCCTCATCCTCTGATGACACTATGGGTGAGTTCCTCTTCCTTGATAACTTCGACATCACCACTATACCCTAACATCTATCGAATTTTCCAACCACTTCTGACACCAGTTGTAGTATCAACGATTCAGAGACACAGTTTCTCGGAGGCACTTTCTTTATTAACAACTTTCACGGTCTCGTCCACAGTAGCTCAGCCTAGCCTGTATATAACACTAGCCGTCTAACACAGATGGCACTGACTGAGATAGCCAACTACTATCCTTCATAGCGCAATATCTAGCGGAGACGTTTAGCGACGACGGCGATGAGAAGACAGCGACGATGAGATGAGTCCATTCCCAGAACCGGCAGCCTCGAGCCCCCCGCTCTCAGCTCCTTTTATGCTCCCAGTGCAGCCTGGCTCTGCCCTGACCGCGCCTCCATTCTCGAACCGACTAGCAGGTTCCAGGGGCCTCGAGACGGGTCTTCCATGACCCTTACCCTAGTTCCTTCCCTCTGCCCACACACCGTGCACGCCCTCACTGGCGTGTGTACTATCTGTCCACCGCAGTTGCCGCTGCTGTCCACCAGCCGGCGCTATTACACTACACATGTATGAAATCCTCTTGATTTAACGTTCAGTTGGCACAATGTTCAAAATGCTATGATAATAAACTAAGCATAAAACATGTAACATTTTTATTTGAAGCTTTCGTGACTGCAGGAATCCATACTGTTTGGTTATTTTGGTAAAGTCACGTAGGTATAAAATAAAATAAATCACGACGTTTCGATCGCAACACAAGCAGTCGTCCTCAGGCGGAAAAAATATAATCCAGCAGTGAAACTGCTCACATGCCCTTTGGATTGCACTCTCATGCTCACATGTCCTTTGGATTGCACCTCTCAGGCTCACATGCCCTTTGGATTGCACTCTCATGTTCACGTCCTTTGGATTGCATTCTCATGGTGTTAATCTCTCATTAACACTGCTGTTGTGCGCATATGCGGGCATGATACTCTTATGTGGCGACGGAAGCTCATTCATGCTAATCTCCCTCCCTAATCCCTCTCTCCCTAGTCTTCCCCATTAACACAACTGACGTGCTTACGTCCGTGGATGGAATTCCTTTCCAGCTCAGACACCGCTTACTTGCCCATCGCCACATATATATTAACCTTGTTGTAACTGCTCTCTCGCTGGTTCAGCAGTTCCACTGCTGGATTATATTTTTTCCGCCTTAGGACGACCGCTTGTATTAAGATCGAAACGTCGTGATTTATTTTATTTTATACCTACATGACTTTACCGAAAGAACCAAAGAGTATGTGACATTTGTCGCGCAAGGGTCATGCAAATGGTTGTTCTCTACCTGCTTATTCCGTTAAATTCTGACCAAAAATATTGGTAACCACTCCTGATCTTCACACAGTGACTTGTTGCCGGGAAGCAGAACGCACCTAACTGCACCACCAATCACTGCACACTCAACACAAGTGATGCATTTCTAGATATAGTGCTATAAAGCTTCCTGACCGTTGTGGAAAAAACATTGGCTTAACCAAGTAGGCCACTTGAGTACTGTATCCTTAAAAGCAACATCTACATATTTAATGTTGAAATCATTCATTCTGACACCCAGATTTACCTACAGTATTTGCTGCAAAGCTAGGAATGGTTCATGTTTTCGGTAATCTTCTTAAACATACATATTTTACGTAAACAATTAAATTTCACTGCGGGTGCCCGCACACGACATGGAAATCGCAGGCATTTAATGTTACAAACAGAGCTTGATCAATTACACTCAATCACTGCAGGGACACAGGAACCATACAGAGCATCGCAATAAAAAAAATGTAAAACGCACTCAAATCCCCATGTCATAATGTGCTGCTCAACGATGGACAGCAAGACGTTGGCAGACAACATTAATAAGCAACGCCTGCGGCTATCCATGAGCTATTTTGCTACGTTCTAAGTGAATTCCACTTAAAATGCAACTCATGTGGCATTCTATTTGAAACTGTCGTGGAAAATACTTCACACAAGAATACACACGTATTTTTATTCTAATTATTCTCGACAGCGGTGTCTGTTATAATTAAAAGACAATCACCACAAAACGCACGGTTTGGATTCTCATTATAACCTAAAAAAAAGCAACACACATATGTTATCCTTTTACAAAGCACAAAACAGCTGAATAATACCGTGGGTGTGCACGGGTGAAAAGAGACAGCAAGCATGCTTACCTATTTAGATGAATCCTTTTTAATGTGCAGGCCTTCATATGACAGAGCCGCGCATGAGGCTCACTTCAATGTGAAATGCCACATCTAAGACAAAGTGTTACAGTATATGAGGGGCTCAAGAAAGCACAGCCGTGGAGCTACAAATGCCCCACTGATTTTACAACCAAACTAGGGACGAGCTGAGAACGGCCCCTCGTTGCCGTGCAGCTGGTGAAAGCGCAGCCTTGCTTGCTGGTGAAACACGACTGTGTTAACGAAAGCAAGCGACGCAGGACGGTAAAACAGATCGCCGTGATTTCACCACGCATCACGCCGCTAACAACCTGCAGCATCCGTTCACTCGTGACCCGCACGCCTCTCCAGCCCTCACTTGGTGCCGCAATGCTGACTTATTTGCTCAAAGAGCCTTATTTATTACCGTAATTATGTATTTATTTGGTTATTTACCGATTTATTTATACATTTCGTCATATACTCAGCCGCCTCATTTACTGGCATTGGTCCCTTTGACCGGTAAGCTCTCAACCACTGTGAGCCCATTGGCTAATGGATAAAAGATATGCTAATAATTGGCTTGGGGTTGAATTATAGGAAAAGGGAGGGGAAAATGGGCGTAGTCTGCACACAGAGGCCCCCCATGAGGGTTAATCATTGCTGCTGCTCAGAAAGTTGGTAAAGGCCACGACACAGATGTCCCTCCAACAGGAATGCAACGTAGTTTACATACGGAGAACTACACACCACCACAGACATTTTCAACGCTTAAGCATGCGCTATGATTTAATACTGAATGTTCGTATTTAACGTCGATGAACATTCAATATCTAAGCATATTGTCTGTGAATCATCAGCCGTACTTCTATCCCAGTGGTTCTTCACCTGGGGTGCTCGCAATCCCCGGGGGTGCGAGATGCTCTTTCTGAGAACCAAAGGGGTGCCTTTACCGAAAGAACCAAAGAGTATGGATCCTTGCAGTCACGAAAACTTCAAATCTAGAATTAACCACTGTTCTATCCACTGCTGGATGAGTGCCTCCTCACTTCATCGCCATCCCACATGATCTCGTGATGCTATCCACTTCGTTTCTGCACATGGCTGATCTCATTGCTCTCTCTGTTTGCGATGGTCGTCCTCCCAGATGTGTGTTTCTCCTTTGCCTGCCATTCTTTAACCAACCTTTGTCGATTGGCCATTGTCCGTCCTCCTGATGTGTCCTGCCCAAGCCCACTTCATCAACGCACACTGACTAGGGTGGTAAATCACGGTCGATTAACAAACCACGACCCGCCCGGCATGGATAGGCCTTCATCCAACAGTGGATTGTACACATAAATGATATTAACACACATTAATAGAACACACATTGAGAATCATAACCAATAGTATGAAAAGACATATGGTGTAGATTTGTAAAAAAAAAAAACCTTGATCATTAAGCAGCAGAATTGACTACACTTTCCAGTTCTCTCATAGATAGTGATTTTTTTTCACACCAACAGCTCACAAGTTAATTTGTGGGTAATTCTTATCAATTGAAGATGCCATGACTGGCTGTTGTTTTTGTCATTGCACCAGTCCGCGAGATCACCACAAAGGCCCCACTCGGTCACATGGGGGCCAGTTCTCTTGGGTCCGGGTATTTTTAACCCTTTCCTTACATGGGGAATAGCTTCCCTTTTTTAATGGCTCACTTAAAGTGCAAAGCATATTCACAAAGCTAATGATGTTTTTAATACCCTATGGAATAGCCAAGCTTTACTCTAGTTTTTAGAAGTGTCCATATGTCGTAAAGATATTCCCTGACGGAAGACGGATATTTAGCTGTCCCTAATGTACACAGTCAGAAAAAAAAAACATTATTTTTACCCTGCAGCTGCCTGAATACCTTTTGACCCCAACAACACATCAAGAAGTTATGCTGCTTGTATTAGCATTGCAAGCTGCAAAATGTTTATGTTTTATTTGTCGTCACGTGATTTGTTTCGTGTCAAAACAGTTATAGTTTACTTTATATTGTTTGTGTATTGGTTAGGCTTGAATTGAAAGAGATAATATTTTGCTGAACATTAAACCGTAACAAAATTTTTATTTAAAGCTTTCGTGACTGCAGCGATTCATATTCTTCGTTCTTTCGGTAAAGTCACGTAGAAGGGAAATAATAAAATAATAAAAATATAAAACAATAAAATAATAAAAATATAAAACAATAAAATTATCACCACGTTTCGATTGCAAGTCGCTGTCCGTGGTGCTAAAAAAACGCCACTTTTTTAAAATGTTCTTGCTGTGGTTTTCACACCTGATGATGATGGCTTGTGTTTGCATTTTTGACTACTTGTGTTGTGGTTATTGCAAACATGATCCCTTGTATAAAGGTGTCAGATTTTGTGCCAGATAAAGGGGTAAAAACCTATTACTAAATATAAGCGTTGAATAACTACCCCATGAAGCGCAACAGTCGAGTTGACTATACAGTACTGTAATGAAAGCAAAAGTACATTATTGCATTAGGTCTAATTTTTTTCTATTTTCAAATTTATTAAAACAAAATAATTTTATACCATCATTGAATGCGGTTGCACTCGTCTCAGGAATGTACTGTATACCACATTAATTAAAAAAAGACATTATTTTTTAATTGTGATTGTTGTTCCTCCTTTAATCTTTGTGAAACATATTTTAAAGTCTCCAAGCTAAATGACCTGTCTACTGAGAACAAAGGTGTTGGTCCCATTACTAATACGTTTACTGCGCCATCAAATACAACAGTTGATATAATTTCCCCGTCTCCTGAAAACCCACGAGTTAAGATAATAAAAACATATTTTATTTAAGAGATGCATTCCCGTGACTGATAAAATTCGTAAAATAGTGCTATCGTTATTTTGACCTTATTTCTTGTGACTTTTGCAAAGATTAACAATAAAATATACTGTAATGGATATCAACCTGAATAACCTCATTGCGGTATCTTCTTCATGACTTTAAAAGCTTCAGTTCTGATCACGTACATAATCATGATGTACATTATCAGTGCTATTATGCTGGCAGCGAGTTAAACATAGCAGGCAGGCCAACATCGTACAATTGCACATCGACCTAATTCATTGTTGCCTGTAGGCCTTTCATTCTTAAACATCACTTTGCACTTTGGGCCACCAAAGTGACAACTGAAATGCGCAGTAATGCACAAATACTGTACACAAATGCATCGTCTCTTTATTTCCCATGGAAAGGAAATTACATTTTTTTTTACGTTTAGCATGTGCTGAAATTAGAAAATGTAATAACAAAAAAGGGATGACATTTCCAAGTGTAATGTATTTAAATACTGCACAATTATATACAGTCTATCTCTCGTGATCGATGCATGCAGCATGGAAAATTGTAAGTGGCATTTTCATTTAGAAAAAAATAACTATTTTTAACGCAGTTCCAAATACATGGTTTTCATATAGGGGTTGTTATTAGATGTATTTTCATACCTTTCTCATGATCCTTTGCCTTTCCTCCCTTGAAAATCTTCCAGAAGCCGCTCCTAGGCATGCCGTATCCTACAGTCCTGTTTCTTCAGCAAATCAGCGCCGACACTAAAACACAGAGGCGTCTTCTTCAGGGATTGAGCGGATCTCTGACAGTGCACACAGTAAAGCCTAAAAGCCAGCACAGATAATGTGCTTCTGCTATAAAAAAAATACTGTAGAACTTTTCTTGGAGAAAAAAAAGCCTCACAACTTAATGTGTTTTTTTAATACGCAGACCATGTTGTAAATGTTTACGTGGACGAAATGAAAATGTGACTCACTTTCAGGTGAATATATATACGAGATCAACACAGTAAGCCGTTATGTGTGATGCATCAGTGCTGCATCTGCATTCCTGGCAGGCCACTCGCATGAGAAAAGGTCACAAAGGCCGAGTCAGGGTAGTGACATCAATATTGTTATTGTTTCCGCTTTACAGTACTTCAAAAAAAAGTGACGTTATTTCCCCCCCTATTCAGCGCTTTATGAGAATAGAATAGTTAGTATTGTAACATGCTTATCCAACACTGTGCGACCTGAGTTGAATTCCCTGCCATAGTTAACGTCGGTGGTGAGCTATATACCTTACCCCTTCACCAGCCAGCACAGCCCAGCGCGGGGAGGTATGGTCAAACAATCCCCATGACTAACAAGGGTGTGGGGAGGCCTTAATCTCAGCAGTGGATTTATGAAGGGCTGTACATGTTTAGTTTATTATTAATCCCAATAAATGTATATATATTTTTTATTTCAACGAATATTTAAGTACTATACTCTTCACAAGGCGTTCTTTATTATACTAGTCCTTGAAAAAAATATTATTGAATACAATTTTTTTATCAGAAATTAAGATACACTGCTTTATACATGTCCGCTTTCCAAATTAAATATACCGTATTTTATTGTTACAAAATGTATTCGAAGAGAAAGAGGCCATAATCGTGGACTCGACAGCAGGGCTGTATAGACTGCAATATGAGCCTTTAGATGTGTGTGATCTGCTAGGTCTCTACCGGGCACAATGAGGGCATGAAGGAATTGAACCAGAATCAAGTTGGAAACACCCCCGCCCCCTTCCCTCCAAAGTGTCTGCTCATGCCTTGACTTAAAATGTTTTAACCCTTATGAGGAAAGGTTACATATTTTAGCCAAACAAAAAACTACTCAAGCTCACAAAATGTATGCATTGTTGAATAAAAATCAATATTTCAATGCAGCTACTCATATGATTACCAAATATCGCTACGTCAAAAGCCCCACGTCAGGAATAACATTGTCTGAAATAAACGAAAGATTGCACCACAATTCCTCTGTGTTATAGAACCATCTGATTTTTTCAAGACTCGTTTTACATTTGTAGTAAAACAGTAGTCTCACATACATTACCAAGAACATGTATCTACCGAGATTCATTTAAAAAATCCAGCAGTGTACTTAAAAAGGGGCACGCATGTTTGATCACATTCGATAGAATTACTACACAACAGCCCTTGATCCCCTCCTTATGAATTAATTTGCGTGGATAAACGCTATTTTAAGGTACATATGGTATACATGTACTTTACTATTGTGACACTTATCAAAGTATGAGCAAAATAAGTATTCAATATCAGTTTAGTTACTGGTAAAATATGCATCCATATCGAGAGGTTAGTGGAGCTATTTTAGTGCTCTTGGTGTTTTTCCAAACATGATTGATTTAAATTTTTATTTAAAGCTTTCGTGACTGCAGGGATTCATATTCTTGGTTTCCCTTCTACGTGACTTTACCGAAAGAACCATGCATATGATTGATTAAAAAAAATTGCTTAATGTGCTACATATCATGAAATGTCCCAGACATAAATACAATATTGTAAAAATGACTGATGAATATGGGTACTTGACTGAACGATTTGCTTGTGCCAGATGGAGTCATTAAGTCATAAGTTTATGTTCACAAAGCCTCATTTGTGTAGAAA